TGACAGTGTGAGACTGTCTCAAAAACAAACAAACATTCCAGTTCCATTCTTTTTATCACTCTTTTCTTTTGAATGGATAAAGCAAATATGGTGCATATACACAATGGATTATTATTTAGCCATAAAGATAATGAAATTCTGTCATTTGCAACAATATGGATAGAACTGGAGGACTTTATGTTAAGTCAAATAAGCCAGGCACAGAAAGACAAATAGCACATGGTCTCGCTTAAAAGAAACAAACTTGAATTCATACAGACAAGCATGATGGTTACCAGAGGCTGGGAAGGGTGGTGGTGGGGCCGGTAAGGAGGAGATGGTTGGGTACAAAACTAGTTTGATACATGGAGTAAGACCTAGTTTTCCATAGCATAATAGGGTGACTATAATTAACCTCCAAGCCTATCAGTGAAAAGGAACATTACAAGACCTTTGTTCTCGAAATGTTAAGAATTTGAAGTGGAAAAAGGTGAACTAAAATATTGGTAGAAATGCCCATATGGAAAAATAGATAGAATTTGGATCAGTGGCAAGGAGGGAAGAGGTTGGGGAGGTGAATGAATATGCCAAGGTTTGGGGTCAGAAGGAAGCCCACCGAGGGTGACCAATAACACCTGTTCTCACATAGCACCTGGCTCAGAGCAGATGCACAGAGCCTGATGGTTCATGCCTGCATCTTCAGGAAACCATAGAACAGAGGTCTCCTGGGAGAGCTGCTGGGAGACAAGGTTGGGTAGTAGAAAACCTGAAGGGCAGCATACCTCCCCACCTTACTCTTCAAGTAGTTCATAAGCCAGGTGCTAGAATTCGAACTTTTTTTTTTTCTGTAGGTACCAGGAAGCCACTATAAGATTTTTGCCTAAGAAGGTAGCCCTTTTAGTCATTCGGCAAGTATTTGCCTTTGTTAGTTCTGAGTCAGGCACTGATCTAGATAGAGGGGAGAGATAAACAGGTCCTTATTTGACGTGCTTGGTTTTAAGCAGGGGTGTGTTTGGGTATTCCGGGAACCCAGAGAAGGGGCAGCTAACTCAGGCTCGGTTGGGAAGGCCACCAATCTGAGTCTTGTTTATCCAGATGGTCACCTGGGTTGCTGATGCCTTTTGGCTACTGTGAATAATGCTGCAATTAACATTGCCATACAAGTGTCTTGAGTCCCGGTTTTCCATTCTTTGGGGTAATACACCCATGAGAGGAATTGCTGGGCCATATGGTAATTCTATGTTTAGCTTTTTGAACATTATTTTGGGAACTTTTTTTCACCATAGTTGTTAAGAGACCATTAAGTTAGTAGCACTGGGTTCCCTGCAATCACTTGCAGAAATTGCCATCAGGGAGAACTCAACATTAAAGTCAATTTACTCTTTACTAAATATTATAATGAATATCATTAGAAGGGATTAGAATTTGGGATGATAATTTACATTAGAAAATTATTTGTAAAATTTAATCTAGTTTTTAACATCTTAAATGATGTGTACATCAAAACAAATAAAACCCCTACATTTTATTTATTTGTTTGAGACAGTCTTACTCTGTCATCTAGACTGGAGTGCAGTGGTGGGATCTCGGCTCACTGCAATCTCTGCCTCTCAGGTTGAGGCAATTCTCCTGCCTCAGCCTCCTGAGTAGCTGGGATTATAGGCACACACCACCGTGCCCAGTTAACTTTTGTATTTTTAGTAGAGCTGGGTTTTCACCATGTTGGCCAGCCTGGTCTCAAATTCCTGACCTCAGGTAATCCACCCATCTCTGCCACCCAGAATGCTGGGATTACAGGTGTGAGCCACTGTACCCAGCGAAAACCCCTAAATTTTAATATAACTCAGGATTTTATAAAACATTTTTAGTCTTCTGGGAATGAGATTCTATTCCTTGTCCTGTCCAATAGGTATGTTTGAATATCATATAGACTTTAAACATGATTTAAACATGTGACCACCTGCGAAGACTGAATTTATATAATAAAGTATAATCTCAACTACCAAAACAATAAAGCTGAGAAAAAAGACTAATGAGAAAATACCAAAATGTTAGTCTGCACTAAATATTTATGAGCAGTGGGATTATAGACAAATTTTTCTCCCTTTTACATACTATTCTATGTACTTTGTCAAGGACAAAATTTCAACAGAGTTTCAAAGATCTGATTGGCGAACCAATCTACAAACTAGAATCCAATCTACAAACTAGAAGGAAGTCCAATAAGCTAAACAAAGTGGACAAGTTTTATAGGCAGAAAAAAGTGCAGCAAGGCAGGAACAAGGAACAAAAAGCAAACTGGCCATTTCAAGGTTACTTTCCTCAAAGGGATATAAGTGAAATCTTGCTGGCTTCATGGAATTTGGCTATTGTCTCTTCTGATTTGTTGGAAGGTCAGATCTTCTAAGTAAACAACTTAGGTTTCTGTTTGGGAACCTTAGCATGACTGACACCTTTTTGGGCCTGTTGTCTTTTCTTTAACAACCGTTGATCAGGGGAAAACGTTGATTTCTTTTTAAAGAAAAGCGGTAAGATGAATTTTTTCTTTTTTTGAGACGGAGTTTTGCTGTTGTTACCCAGACTGGAGTGCAATGGCACAATCTCGGCTCACCACAACCTCCACCTTCTGGGTTCAAGCAGTTCTCCTGCCTCAGCCTCCCGAGTAGCTGGGACTACAGGTGCACACCACCATGCCCAGCTAATTTTTGTATTTTTAGTAGAGACGGGGTTTCACCATGTTGACCAGGATGGTCTCGATCTCTTGACCTCGTGATCCACCCGCCTCGGCCTCCCAAAGTGCTGGGATTATAGGCGTGAGCCACCGCGCCCGGCCAAATTTTTTTTTTTTTTGAGATAGGGTCTCACTCTCACCCAGGCTTGAGCGCAGTTTGGTGATCACAGCTCACTGTAGCCTCAATCTCCCAGGCTTAACTGATCCTCCCACCTCAGCCTCCAAAGTAGGTGGGACTACAGGTGCAGGCCCCTACACTCAGCTAGCTTTTGTATATTTTGTAGAGATGGAGTTTCACCATGTTTCCCAGGCTTGTCTTGAACTCCTGAGCTCAAACAATCCACCCACCTCAGCCTTCCTAAGTGTTGGGATTACAGGCGTGAGCCACCACACTCCACCAAATTTAATTTTTAATATATTGTTAAATATTATAAATCGATAATTTTTATTTAAACCTCAACACAATACATATTTAAAATAAGTCTACATACTTTTTATGATGTAGGAGGAATGGCCAGGAGTAAAATCCCAACGGACTATAGTGAAGTAGCCAGCCTATAGAGGTAAAGCTTGTTTATATGGATTTTGGTAACAGATACATAATGAATAGGATGAAATGTTCTTACCACTGTTTTTTAAAAAAAAGACTTTATTATATAAAAATGATACAACATTCATTATGTTTGATAGATACAGAAGAGTACAGTCACTCATAATCCCACCACTTAAAAATAATCAAGTGTTAACAGGGGTGGGTATGCTACCAAACCTCTCAATTCACTGCTATGTACAGACAGGACTGATGGTGGGAAACGCCAAACTTTTTATTCTAACACGTTTTATTTATTTTATTTTTTGGGATGGAGTCTCGCTCTGCTGACCAGGCTGGAGTGCAATGGGATGGTCTCGGCTCACTGCAACCTTTGCCTCCTGGGTTCAAGCGATTCTCTTGCCTCCGCCTCCCAAGTAGCTGGGATTACAGGCACATGCCACTGCACCCAGCTAATCTTTGTATTTTTAGTAGAGACAGGGTTTCACCATGTTGGCCAGGCTGGTCTCAAACTCCTGACCTCAAGTCCAGTGATCCACCTGCCTCGGCCTCCCAAAGTGCTGGGATTACAGGCATGAGCCACTGTGCCTGGCCATCTAACAAGTTTTAGATTTAACTTCATTTGAATGTAATAGAAAAAAATTAGAAATGAAATTGAAGGGGCTGCTGAACTTCAGATAAATGTTTCTTCATTGGTTCCTAAAAGGGATAAGTAAGCCAGTGATACTCAAACTCAAGTAGGTGCCAGAATCCCCTGGAGAATTTGTTAAATCACAGATGGCTTGGCCCCACCCCCAGGGTTTCTGATTCAGGAGGTCTGAGGTGGGGCCAAGAATCTGCATTTTTAACAAGTTCTCAGGTGATGCTAATGTTGCTGGTCTGGGACTACACTTTGAGAACCACTGAATTAAGGTCAAGAAAGAAAAAAAAAGATTGTGGAAAAACTTAAGGTTGGTCACTGGGGTTTTTCCCTTTATTATAATCTTAAGACATGACTTGACATGACACCTGGCCATGAATGATGAGACGGTTGGTTCTTAGTCTTTATCCCACTTTATCTCCTCCACGTCTGAATTTGTCAATGTACATTAATTTTTCTTTGTCAAGATTTATAACATTTACATCCTATTCTACATCTATGATTCCTCAATTCTTAAATGTTCATTCTGCATTTTAATGGACTCAGAGCTCATAATCATCCTATTTGATGGAAATTCCTTGGGGAACCTAGTATCCCCTCTCTTCTAGCTCCTATTAAATGTTCAGAACCAGAACTCACTAGACCCAGTCAAAGGTGTCTCTGACTTCTGCAGGATTTGGCCTCCCCAGGCTGCTCCGAGACCTGGGAAATGCCTAGTCCTGGTGAATCTTACCCCTTCAGCTGAGGTCCGTAAATGGCAGCAAAGACTTTGTTGTCCCAAGAGTTTTCCTTGACGCTCCTCCACGTGGCCTGGTCACCTTGTCAGAGCCTTTGTCCATACTGGGGCCCATTGTTACCAAGATTTTTGTCATTTCCATTGTTTTACTCAGTGCTACTTATGGGACTTGGCAAGGGATGAAGTCATACCACACCTCGCTGCATCAGCTTCTTCTCCTTCCTTGCTTGGTTGCTCCTGGTGAATTTGTGCCTGGTGGTTACTGAATTTGCTGGGTAGTGGAGATGATAAGAGTTTCTCATCCAGCTTTACTTTTCCTGCTTCTGCCTAGAAGTATTACCATCTTTTCTTTAAAAAAAAACTATTCAAAAATGTAGTATTTATTAGGTAAAATGTGGTAAATAGTATACATCTACATAAATTGTTATATGTAAATGCAGTGAGGTTTTTTCCCATAGAAAAAAAATGAAAATATATCATCCAAAATATTTATAATAGTTTTCTCTGTGATAAGACTATGGGCAATTCTTCAAATTGAAATTTATATTGAAATAACTCTAGATTCATATGCAGCTATGAGAGAAATAATACAGAGATCTGTGTACAATTTACCCAGTTTCCCCCAATGCATCAATTTTAAAACCACCAAAAGAACAGTGCCTTCTGAGGTTGGTGAAACCAATAGGAAAGAAACAAGATGAGGGGATGCTTAACCAGAGATGGCAACTTTTCTCTCAACCTTCTGTATATATGTCCACTAAAGTACTTACTCTACATTGTGATTCTTTTTTTTGTGAATCTCTTCTTCAATAGTGCATGAGCTTCCTTACAGCAGGGACTGTCTTATTATCTTTGTCTTCCCAGTATCAGCGAAGGGCCTAGCATGCAGGGGAGGAAGGGGGCAATGGTATGGGACTCATAAAAAAAAAACAACACTTCTCAAGTCTTATGCATTCAAGAACTCAAATTCTTTCCAGTTAATAAAAAAATGCTATGGATAACCTTTTGCTCAATCTCCATATGAAAATTACATATGTAGTTCCTAATAAACATATTCTATTCTTCCCTACTCATTCATTCATTATTCAACTAATATTTAATGAACTCTTACCACATGTCAAATAGGAAGCTGGGCGCTGGGGATACCATGGTGGACAAGACAGACATGGTCTCTGTCCTTATTTTATACTCTAAATTATCAAGTAAGTTTTTCTTTTTAGATGTTAGATCTTACACACACAATGTTTTCTGCATAGGTATTTTGCAGATAACATGCTTTGCATTTTGAGACAGTGCCAAAAGAATATCCAAATAGGGAATCAGTTGTGGAATGAATAATAGTAAGTCAGCCATCTTACCTTTATGTGTTACAATAAATAAAAATCCAACAATAAAGGCCATTTACCCAGTTACATTTCTATTTAATGTCCATTTTCCCTATTAGGCTCTTCATACCATAAAGGCAGGGTCCATGTGTCTTATCTTGTGGTTCATTGCTGTAATTTTAGTACAGTATCTGTACAGTACATAGTTGTCAATCAAATGATTAAATATTCAAGGCTCATAACTGTCCCCTAGAACATGGGAGTAAATGAAGTCAGTTATTTTAAAATTTAAGACAGATTTTATAAGTACCTAACACAATATAAAGTTGCCATACTACCTGTGTGCATGCATTTCTTTCTTACCATAAGTGGAATGCTCAATATGTTTGGAAAACCTGACCTATAGAGAGTGTACACAGTACAAGACAAACCATTTCCCTAAATTTATTGCCTGCTTAGCAATGAATCAAGTGCACTTGCCCCCTTTATCATGAACTCGCTTAAGGAAAAGGCTGCCCCTCTTTTAAAGATATGGAAAAGAAAACTGAATGTATTAAGATTTTTCATCATCCAGTCATGAAAAACCAAGTTCTTATCAACCTTCATATTTTAATTTTGAAAGCTCTATCTTTGTAAGCACAGAATAGTGTTTTAAACATCAGCAGGTGCTATCCAAGGCAAAATTAAAATAATGCTCTCACAAACTGGCAAGTAACTTCTTTAAGCAGAAAGAGCAACAACATTTTATTTTATTACAAATAAACATTTCACAAAAATTTAATTGGGAATGTATATGTACTGTTAAGCAGAATACAGAAAACAAAGAAATAAGGTATTGGGACCTAAAAATTTCATTTAAAATCCCATCAAACTGCTCTTACATGTAGTAGGTACGTAATACATATCAACTAAACTAAAAGTAAACACTCTATAAGATGTGCTTGCAAAATGTGTAATGCTGTAGTAGTAAAGTACAATTTTCAAATATGAGATTTTATCTGTCAGATTTTAAAAAGCCTTTAAAAATATGATATGCACAAGCTTGCCCTGAGGGAAAAATAAGATGGACTATAGATTATAAAATCTTTACATATTTTCCACAATAGCATTTTGAAATTGGAAAAGAGCAAATAGTTGTGGAAAAAACTGAATGAACATATTACTAAAAATTCAGTGCACTCACAACTACCTGATGGAATATTTGAAGCACCTTTTCTCTCGCCTTCTCATAATATGAAATGTATGAATTATATAGGCCTTGATCTTCAGAAACTTAAGAAAACTTCAAGTTATAAGCCAAAATGTCATCAGAAAAAGAAAAATCCAGTATAAAATTTTCTACCATAAGGCCACTGTTTAAAGTTCTTTCATGTTCAGACACTGTACAATTCAGATACTTGTTTTTATTACGTAAGCAAAACTTTCAACATATAAACGTCTGAATATAACTTGGTGAAGTTCTCTCTATGAAACCATGCTCAGAGAAAAATGCGTCAACAAATAATGCCCTTCAAGTGATTCTTTTGAGACTTTTTGCAAAACAAACTGTAGTTAATACAACTTTTAAATTGAATACTGTAATTTAAAAGCAATAGTTAGGTGTAAAAAAGTTGCAGCATTCCACTACTAAAAAATAAAGTTACTTTATCAAGAAGTTACAGTATTAGTGCCTTAGCGTCACTTCTAACTCCTGACAAAAAGAGAGAGATGCTCCCAAACATCCTCCTGTAGTGTCATTTCCATTTGTACGATTTCAGATTAGATTTCTGTGGCAACATCTGTATATACCTATTGAGAGAAAACAAGAGAAATAAAGACTTTAAACAAAGTGTCAGTTATAACATCTGAGCTAGTTTCATTCACACTGCAATTTTCAAAGTGTTTTCATTTATACAGTGTTACTGGCACCCCGAGATTCCCAGGAAGGTATGTGGAACCCCAAAGATGCAAAGTGTAACAACAGAACACATCAAAGCAATATCAAATGATAAGTCAACAGGACAAAGAAAACATATGGCGCTAGATAACATTTGTATTAGTAGATTGATGACAACAGTCTCTGCTATTTGGGTGAGTTTCAGTGAAGGGATCCCTGGTATAAAATCAAGACTCTTAAACCTTTGGCTCTCAAGTGTGGAGCCTCACACTACACACGCACACCTCAAATTAGTATTTCATCTTTTCCATCGTATATCTAATTCTAAAACTACGTGGACTCTTCTAGCTGACTGGTAACTGCAGAGAAAGTTATTAGAGGGGGAAACACCTTCTTGCTTTTGGATGGTTAACTACAATATAAAAAGGTGTAAGCCTTCAATAAATAGAGGAAGAAGAATTTACAAGAACAGTAAGACTATGATTAGAAGATAATGAATGTGGATTATATAGTGTGATACTATGGACAATATTTAATTACCAACCATGAACTGGACATAGGACCATGAAAGTAATAAAGGAGCAAACATGGTAGAATGGCACATTTTTCAAGGACATTAAAAAATAAAAATTTATTAATATACATATCCTTACCTTTCACTAGGATCTTACATTATCAAAACTGAAAGGAAATGTAAAAGTCGATTTATTTTTTGGCATTTATATTAGTATGGAAATGTTTAATTCCAAACAAAAACAGTGCTGACAGAAAATTCTTATTCTTCTATTTAGGTTAATGAAATGTTCAAAATACATGCACATATGTATTTCTCAACATCATTCATTTAAATAGAGGTAGATTTCATTGTATCCTAGTTCTTTACTCATTATACCATGTAAAAATCATATAAATTTATTTTCAAATAAAATATCTGTTACCTATTACAACTTTAAAAGGTAATTCTAACTACAATAATTCTAAAATAAAATTCAGTTGAAATGTCTTGTTAAATTGTGATTATTTTGAGTTACATTCACCCTTGACATAGCTTCTTTCATAACCTCTCTCCACTTGGCCCCTCCACCCTTCCAGTAATCTAAAAGCACCCTCCACCCACACACCGCTTTTTTTTAGATGGAGTTTTGCTCTGTTGCCCAGGCTGGAGTGCAGTGGTGTGATCTTGGCTCATAATAACCTTCACCTTCTGGGTTCAAGCGATTCTCTGGCCTCAGCCTCCTGAGCAGCTGGGATTACAGGCGTGTGCCACCACGCCCAGCTAATTTTTGTATTTTCAGTAGAGACGAGCTTTTACCATGTTGCCCAGACTGGTCTTGGATCCTGGTTTCAAGTGATCCACCCACCTCGGCCTCTCAAAATGTTGGGATTATAGGTGTGAGCCACTGCACCCGGCCATAAAAGCCCATTTTAAGCAGAATTCTGAACTATATATAGGAGTACTTCATCTAGGTTTTCATAATGTATCATTTGGGTCACTGCCCATGTTCTCTTGTTGGTCTTCGTGAACCTCATCTCTCCTCCCCAGAACCTGCCCACCCACTGCTAACTGCGTAGCCATCCTAAAGTACCACTTTCTCCTCAGTCTAGGAAGACATCCTACTGCCACCACATCAAACCCTAAATATCCTGCCCAGCTTTCAGGGACCTCTATAATTTGCACAGCTCCATTTCTCCCCAACTTCACATCCTACTGCCAAACATGAGTCTTTGGCTTTAGCCCTTTCTATGTCTTGCTCTTCTCCAGGTCTCAGCTTATAACCTACCTCCTCTGAGAAGAGTGTATTAAGGAAAGTACTTACCATACATCTCCTGACCATTCCTACCATATTGATTTTCTTTTCTCTTTAAGCATTAGCCATCTGTGAAGTTAAACTCTTCAAATATATGGTTGTTCATGACCAGCCTGACCAACATGGAGAAACTCCTTTTCTACTAAAAATACTAAAAATTAGCTGGGTGTGGTGGCGGGTGCCTGTAATCCCAGCTACTTGGGAGGCTAAGGTAGGAGAATTGCTTAAACCTGGGAGGTGGAGGTTGCAGGGAGGTAGAGGTTGCAGTGAACTGAGATCGTGCCATTGCACTCCAGCCTGGGCAACAAGAGTGAAACTCCATCTCAAAAACCAAATAAAATATGGTTGTGTTGGTTCAGGTGCAGTGACTCACACCTGTAATCTCAGCACTTTGGGAGGGTGAGGTGAGTAGATCACTTGAGGCCAGGAGTTTGAGACCAGCCTGGCCAACACGGTGAAACCCTGTCTCTACTAAAAATGCAAAAATTAGCTGGGTGTGGTGGTGCACATCTATAACCCCAGCTACTCAGGGGGCTGAGACAGGAGAATTGTTTGAGCCTGGGAGATGGAGGTTGCAGTGAGCTGAGACTGTACCACTGTACTCCAGCCTGGGTGACAGAGTGAGACTCCATCTCAAAAAAAAAAAAAAAAAGTTGTGCAGAAAAGGGTTAATAAAGCACATCTGACTGCTGTCCCTGGACTGGAAAGGCCTGCTTACAGGATGGCCCTCGGCCAGCATCTGGGAACTTAGATTTCAGGAAGGTTCCCACTGATAGGTGCTGAAACTATATAAACAATATGGTTTATGCCGAACATGCACTTTCCTCCTGGCAGTCTGGAATTTGTGTATGTGCTTGGCAGGGGATGCCTACATGATCAGCCCCCAGTAAAAACTCTTGGCACTGAGTCTCTAGCAAACTTCCCAGGGTGGCAACGTGTCACGCGTATTGTCACAACTCGTTGATAAGGAAATTAAGTATATTCTGTATGACCCCACTGGGAGAGAACCTTTGGAAACTTGCACCTGGTTTCCTTCAGACTTTGCCCTACATGCCTTTTCCTTTTGCTGATTTTGCTCTGTATTCTTTCACGAGAACAATTATATGCTAAGTCACCTGAGTCCTAGCAAAACCTGGGGGTGCTCTTGGGGACCTCTGACACAATGGTTTTCGTTCACTAACTTTTTAGAGCATATGGATGGAAGAGTGAGTGTGTGTGTGTGTGTGTGTGTGTGTGTGAATAAATTCAACTCCATTCACTAAGCATTAAGCATTTTCTGAAGACTGACTATATGAAAGGTAATAAGGTAAGATAAAAGACTAACAATACAAAGAGAATGAAGTACCTAGGAATATAAATCACAAGGGAGGTGAGGGGCCTCTTCAAGGAGAACTACAAACCACTACTCAAGGAAGTAAGAGAGGACACAAATAGAAAAACATTCCATGCTCACGGATAGGAAGAATTAGTATCATGAAGATGGTCATACTGCCCAAAGTAATTTATAGATTCAATGCTATCTCCATCAAGCTACCATTGACTTTCTTCACAGAATTTTTAAAAATGACTTTAAATTTCATGTGGAACCAAAAAAGAGCCTGTATAGCCAAGACAAACCTAGGCAAAAAGAACAAAGCTGGAGGCATCATGCTATCTGACTTCAAACTATACAAGGTTACAGTAGTCAAAAAAGCATGGTACTTGTACCAAAACAGACTTTTAGACCAATGGGACAGAACAGAGGCCTCAGAAATAACGTCACACATCTACAACCATCTGATCTTTGACAAACCTGACAAAAAGAAGCAATGGGGAAAGGATTCCCTGTTTAATAAATGGTGTTGGGAAAACTGGCTAGCCAGATGCAGAAAACTCAAACTGGCCCCCTTCCCTATACCTTATAGAAATATTAACTCAAGATGGATTAAAGACTTAAATGTAAGACCTAAAACCATAAAAACTCTAGAAGAAAATCTAGGCAATACCATTCACGACATAGGCATGGGCAAAGACTTCATGACTAAAATACCAAAAGCCATGGCAACAAAAGCCAGAATTGACAAATGGGATCTAAATAAACTACCAGGCCAAGATGATGAAACACTATCTCTACTAAAAATTCAAAAATTAGCTAGGCACAGTGGTGGGCACCTGTAATCCCAGCTACTTGTGAGGCTGAGGCAGGAGAATCAATTGAACCTGGGAGACGGAGGTTGCAGTGAGCCGAGATCATGCCACTGCACTCCAGCCTGGCGACAGAGCAAGAGTCTGTCTCAAAAAAAAAAAAAAAAAAGTCAGGAAACAACAGATGCTGGAGAGGATACAGAGAATTAGGAAGGCTTTTACACTGTTGGTGCAAGTGTAAATTAATTCGACCATTGTGGAAGACAGTGTGACGATTCCTCAAGAATCTAGAACCAGAAATACCATTTGACCCGGCAATCCCATTACTGGGCATATACCCAAAGGATTATAAATCATTCTACTGTAAAGACACGCATGTTTACTGTGACACTGTTCACAATATCAAAGACTTGGAACCAACCCAAATGCCCATCAATGATAGACCGGATAAAGAAAATGTGGTACATATATACCATGGAATACTATGCAGCCATTAAAAGGATGAGTTCATGTCATTTGCAGGGACATGGATAAATCTGGAAACGATCATTCTCAGCAAACTAACACAAGAACAGAAAACCAAACACCACATGTTCTCACTCATAAGTGGGAGTTGAACAATGAGAACATATTGGCTCAGGGAGGGGAACATCACACAATGGGGTCTGTTGGCGGGTAGGGGACAAGAGGAGGGATAGCATTAGGAGAAATACCTAATGTAGATGATGGGTTGATGGTGCAGCAAACCACCATGGCACATGTATACCTATGTAACAAACCTGCACATTCTGCACATGTATCCCAGAACTTAAAGTTTTTTTTAAAAAAAAAGACCAATGAGGCCAGGTGCAGTGGCTCACGCCTGTAATCCCAGCACTTTTGGAGGCCAAGGCAGGTGGATCACTTGAGCCCAGGAGTTTGAGACCAGCCTGGCCAACACGGTGAGACCCCATCTCTACAAGAAAATACAAAAATTAGCC